GGGGGGGGAAATGAAGGTTGCTTTAAACAAAACAATAGTAAACTGAAAAAGGTAAGTACATCCTTCAGAAGGGGGACTAAGACTGCACAGCTGTTATAGCTGCCCCTGCACCCCCTCTTTATATTAAGAGGATAACAGGGAGTGGGGATGTTTTGTAAATGAGGATGACTCACATACCTCCTACAAATACACGAATTTAAGCAGCATGCTTTGGAATCATGGGGGGGTGGGTGAGTTTAAAATAAAGAAAAGATCAGAAGTTCCTAATAACACACCCACCTTACCAAGTGAGGGAATATTTTTACACAGTGAATTTCATTTATTGGTTCTACTTTCACTGCAGAAAAAAAGTGAAGTAAAAATAGGCCTATTTGTCAACCTGAAGCAAATAATTGTAATTTTACTTATTGGACTGCTACCACATATTTTTACAGTCTGGGGCCGAGTTTATACTCTCAAAGTTTTAACCAAATTAGAATGACTTTTACAAGTACTACAACAGCTATTGGAGCTCCAGCATGAAGTCCTATTGTCTGCATAAGCATAGAACACTTAACGTTTTGTTTCAGATCAGAACAATCTTGGGTTGGTAAAAATATTTCTAATACTCCCCAAAACCTGTCCAACATATCACCCTTTTAAAATCCCTACACTAAGTTCTCAGAAGTTAAAATGGCAACCATGTGTTTCTGAAGTAGAGAGGGAAACATCATACAGTCTATCCCTGACTCCCTGTACTCATTTAAAAGAGATTCCCACAGACCAACAAAAAACTGACTATTAAAAAAAAAAAAAAAAAAAAAAAAAAAAAAAAAAAAAAAAAATCACATCATACCTGTTGTAACTGGGAGCAGAACCTGGGGAAGTATATTGAGTACATCAGTATAAATGTAACTAGAACATGTATTTTTACAACTTTCATTTTCTGAACTACTTATTGATTATTCAGGTGGCTCTTTCAAAATCAGATTATCACATTCTCTTGAACAGTAATTCTCATTCACCACCATCTGCTTTATAAGCATGTCAGGCAGATTAGCTGCATGTTTCTGCTGTTAGTATTTGACATGTAATAAAGCCTATTAATCACTGCTTAGCTTTTTCAGAAACAGGTTTAAATCTTCTTTTTATACCATCAGTCTAATAACTGCATAAAAAAAGTGAAATTTAAGTACCTTTCCTTAATTGACATTGTTTTGCTGGAATTATCAAGGACATCCTCAGTTGTTTGTGTTTTGTTTTCTCCAGCAGAAAACATCTCACAGGAATTCTTATAAAATTTGCCTTCCAATTGTTCAGAGAGCTCCTGCAGTCTACAGGATGCCACAGCTGCAGTTTGTGAAACTGTCCTCATTGCTGATGTGCTGGTGAGTTCAGAAGTAGGTTCAATGTGGTCTGCCCATTCAAAAGAGAAGTGCTGAATTAGACTTAGTGCTATTTCAAACATATTTTACATTACTAACACTGAAGCAGCAAATCTGTTTTTTAACATTCAAATCACATGCTCTTCTAACAGAGAAAAAATTTCTGGCTAAGCTACAGGACAAAGACTAGTTGTGCAATATTATATGCTGCATGGACTAGCCATTTGTGACTGAAGTTCATATGAAGCCACACAATATCATGTTCAATACACAACTCTAAACTTCATAGAGATGAGGCATAAACTGCTGCTCCTGTCGTCATACCAACAGGAAAACAAATGGACAGATGAAAGTGAGAGGGGAACAAAGAGTAGGGGAATAGAAACATACAAAATTTAAATGAGAAATTAACTTATTGAACAAACAATTTATCTGTAAGTAGTATACTAGGAGTATATTTAATAGCTTAATAAAGGTATTATTTTCTAGAAGAGTGTTAGGAGCTTTTTTGGTTTTGTCTTTTCAAGCAGCAATTAAATGACAGGAAAAACTGCCTTGATGAAAGATAAATGCAACATTACAGTTATCCTTAAGGAAGTAAAAGTGATCTTCATTTTTCTTTTTGAAATTTTACAAGAACAACACCCCTCTGACCCATGACTGCTCCTGTTTTATCCCAGTCTCCGTCTCCCCTACAATCACTGAAAGTTAATTTGATAGGACACTGCTTCTGAGGAATAGAGGCAGAACTATGCTCTCCTTCCTATGCCTGTTCAAAGACCATTAAATTCAAAATAAGTTAACTTCACAGGATGAAGACAAAAATGCTTCTAGCACTACAGGGTACTGTGGTCCTCTACCTCATCATAACGAAACAGGAAACTAATACAACAGCCTTCTAAATTCAACAGAATTGAAGACTTTATGCAATGACCAAATCGACTGATTATTTCCACAGCACTTTATTTAAAAATGGGTGAGTTTACTTAACAAGTTTGAATTACGCTGTGCATATAAAGTGCAGTTGCTCTGAGAATTACTTGGTTTATATTTCGTTACCACATTGAAGAGAAAATAATAGCAGGTTTGCAAAATTAGTTATCTGAAAACTATCCACTACTAGCTATATACATACATATGTGGTTAATACATAACTATATATGCACAAGGAGTCAACAATTAAGAGAAGACACTTGACTCAGAGCAGCATGTTTAGTTTGTTCAGCACTTTGGAGGGCAGGGGCAAAGGCAAAAGAGGAAAGGATAATGTTAGCTTCAGTATATAATACCACTTCTTTTGAAGTAAGAAAATCTGAATAAAATTGAGTCATCTTTAAAGGCTGAAGAATTGGAAGAATAATAAAGAGAAAACGGTATTTGTAAAACTTACGATTTCACAGGTATTTCTCTACTTTTAAGCAGTGTTAAAAAAAAAGGAAACATAACCAGCCTTGATAATGCTTGAAAAGTTTAAAACTAGAGAAACACCACCATTTGCTGAATGAGACTACACCATTAGCAAGCATATACTGCACCTCTTTGCAAAGTCCTGCTTTTCATAACACTTCCCAAATCCATCTTTTCTTCAAAGGACTGGCCGTCTTTGACTTCCCATTTACCTTGCATGCCAGTATCGATTTCCTTCTGTTCAAGAGGCTGAAAAAGTGCCTGTGAACTAAACAGTTCCATGCTGCCCTTCCTCAGGAAGCCGTATGTTGTCTCTTTATGGTAGTCTCCTGTTTTTTCAGGAACAGGATGTGTGGTTTCTTCCTCAAAGGAACTGTACTTTGTAATTTCATTAGCTTCATGTACTAAAAACCTCTTTCTCTCTTCTTCAAGTTTCTTTGATGCTCTTTTGCTTTCTAGCGCTTCCATTGAGGGCTGCCACTGTTCTGACATGTGTGTGCGTTTTCCTGAAGAGTCCGAGTTTTCTGCTGAAGAGTGGAATCTCAGATCAGCTCTAGTGGCAGCACCCACATTTCCATCGCTAGCTGGCTTTGTATGCAGGTCTCCAGCATACAATGGAGAAAGGGCAGATGCCATTGTTGAAACCGATGTTGCAACTGCAGTTGACAGGGGAGTAATTTTTCCACTTTCATTTTGTACCTATGAACAAAAAAAACCAAAAAACAAACACACAAAAAGCCCCAAACCATAAAAGCTCTGAAACCATCAGTCATTTCCTGAAAACAGTCTAATCACCATAGTTCTTCAGACATGTGCTTCCATATGAAAATATTGCTCTATAAATATAGACTAGAAAGAGATAAACAGAGCAATAATGCCTCCATAATTTGGCTGCAGATGAATTATTCTACCCAGGGAAGAAATGACTGCATGTGAACAGCAACATCTATAGTAATAAAGGGTGTATGTGTAGCATGCAACATGACATTGTGTCAGGGCTCTGTGAAAAGGCTCTACTGGCATGATACTGCACAGAACTGGGGAAAGAAATGAGTTCAGGTTCCAGATGCTGGATGACATGCCATGTGCCCAGGCTAATCAACTCTGTATCTCAGCAGGACTAATTAGCTTTGGCACAGCTCTGCTCTGACACGGTTATGCAGTTTCCAGCTCTGGAGCTAGCTCAGCACCAGAGAGAGAGACTCTGCTCTGTGCTGTCCTACATAGGACAGACATTCCTGGTGCTTCTGTCACATAAATTACTTTCACACTGCCAGTCTAAGACTTTCTCAAATATAAACAGTGGCTGTCATGTACATCTTTGAGCAAAGTATTTGAATCTAAGAAGCATATCAAGGAAGCCTCCTAATTTGCTTTGCCAGCCTTGACAGTGAAAAAATTTTCTTTTCTACTCTTCTAAAATAATAATTTTATAAAGTTTTCCTAGAGAAAGTTAAGATGCAAAAATCTTTCTGAAATGCAGAGCTTGGCTTTGTCTTTTCCAAAGGAGACAAAAACCTATGAAGAGACTGACAAACATGTCTTCATACACATCAGGAGAGGTTTTTTTGTGTGGCTTTTTTTGTTGTTTTCTTAAACTGCAGGACTAGTGAACAGCGTGCAAAAGGAATATAAAAAAAAAAAATAAAATCACACCAGTAGAAGGAAATCAACTGAAAACTTAAAATGCACATGCACATTCCATAAAGCATGGACAACACATTCATTAAACAAATCGGAAAGCAGAGCAAAGACTACTACACTAGCTCAAAGATTGCAAAGAAAGAATAAGAAAATAGTTACCAGTTTACTCTTTTTCCATTTCATCTATCAGAATTAGAAATTTAGAGATCAGCAAAGGGATTTCAGCTTTAATTACAAGATACTTACTTTTGCAATTATATATTTTGGTAAGGTAACCACTAGTTATCTATTTGGATACCTTTCTTTTGCCTCTTCCTAGAAAAACTGTAACTGCATCTCAAAATATCCCAACACTCCAAAATTAACAGTTCACTATAGAAAGTCTTTTTGAAAATACACTCCCATTGGACTTGGTTCAGTCAATTCTGGTTGGTTTTGCTAGGTTCAGAAAGAGATGACAAAAAATTTTTCCTCTGTATATCCTTGCTTGAAGAGCAAGTTTGTTCTGTAAAAGTCTGACAAACTAACCTGACTGTCACTTCTTTCTCATCTGCTTCAGCCCATTTCTGTCGATCACCTTCCTGGCCCCCAAACAACTTAGTGACACCATCATTAGAGAGGCCATGCTGTGACAGTGGTTGGCATGTGGAAAATAATAGGAAAGAGGACTATGCAAGGTCTGAAAATCTTGCTAAAATATAAATGCCAAATATTTACTACTATTTTATGCCTACCTAGGCATGAACTACAACTATACATCTGTAGAGCTTTGAACCATTACAGTTAGAGTAATCCTGCCTTCTCACTATTCTATTATTATAATATGAAAAATGTATAATCATGAATGAATCATATAGAAAGAGAAGGGTAGTAAGTTTCTAACACTCAGGTTGATCCAAATCCCTAGAAATGACATGCATAGGAGTTGTGCTTCACTGTTGAAGTGATTTCTTTTAAAGCTGTAATGCTAAGGGACTGATGTTTCTGCTATTGTGAACATCAGCTCTGAATGACCACTGCTGGGCCATCTTATGCTCAAACTTCACTAAAAAGGCATTCTTCTGCAGTTACAATTACATGAAGGATTCCAGAACAGGAAGCCCAATTCCACTGCACATATTACATAATTTCATTTTGACCATGACTTTCTGAATTTCAAAAGTATTCTGCTTTTAGGGGAAAAAAAAAAAAAAAAGAATAAAAATCATTGCCCCCCCCGAAAAATGACAGAATATGTCCTGACTAATAATGAAAATATCTAGTACTTTCAGGAAAGAGTCTGTAAGTTGCACATGAGAAAGCTCCAAAATTCCCTGAAAATACTTCTAAAGGACAATGATATGTGTCATAGTTTTTACACCTTTTCTCAGGAATCTACTACTAGAAGTCACATAATATTCTATTGGAAAAGACAGACACTGTGAAAGGTACAGCATGCACTAATCAGACAGATGATATACACTTGAATTAAAGAAAAAACACAACAATGAAGTTGGACATTTTAGAGGATGTTGTTCCTCAGTGTCAGAAGACTGCTTCCTGACAAGCTTTTTCCTGTGAGTGTGTCATGACCCCAGTGTGTAGCTCAGAGCAAAGAAAAGCCCAGCTGTTATGGTATTTTACACTGAAGCTATTTTCTTCAAGAAAAAGAAACAAATGAAAAAGAGCTAAGATTGCACTTACCTGCTCAACTTCTCCAAGAGTGACTGGCTGAGTCTGGTAGCGAGCATTCATTCTCCTGTGCCTAATATCTCCTCGACTCCTTGTGGAGATGGCCCTGGATACTGGTTGAGATAATTTGTTAAACAAAGCCATCTTTTCTGCCAAACTTAAGGTGGAAGAATCTGGTTCATCAGACTGATCTTGTCCCATGGCCTCTTTGGCTGCTCGTATCTCTTCTTTAGCTAAAATTTTTTGGTGTGCTGATGCCTGCAAGCTGAAGAAACAGAACTGGAAATGAGCTTTGAAGAAGCCATTATGAAGTTTTAAAATCTCAACCTGATAGAAGCAGAACTGCACATGAAGCACAATGGCCAATGTAATTTAGCAGCCTAAGTGGTTATGCAGTGGTTCAACATTGGCATGATGAATTCTAATTCAATAGCTGAAGATTTAAAATAAGTTAAATTTTCATTCACAAATTCATTTGATTAGGACACAATAATTTTTTAAAAGGGGAACTCAAGATTGAAGAGAGACTTTTAAGAGAAATCTCTTTATACAGATGCCTGCTGTAGAACAAATATGCCTGCTGTAGAACAAATATGGGTCCTACAGTGCAATTTACATAAAAACTCAATTTTATTACAAATAATTTGTGGAACATATATGATAACAACATTTAAAAGACTGATTTAAACTCCAAGTTAGTGCTTCTTTTAAGTTAGCATATATTGTAATGCCTTTTATAATTTGAAGCAGAACAGAATTCAAACTGTCTTTTGTTTTGAGTTATCTGTGGTAACTCAACAACAAAAATTACTTTTGAATGCTGTATAGTCCATTAATTTTGAAGATTGTTTGACCAATGCTGAAGGCAGACACATTCATTCATAAAAGCTGTGACTGCATTTGTCTCTACAATAATACATTTTATTCACCTCTACAATAACATATTTTATTCACTTTCAGCCACATTTATCAAATTGGTATTATTCTTTTTTTCCTTTTTTTTTTTTTTTTTTTCTTGTGGTCTCTGCTAAAACTCTCTTATTCAGAACAGGTAAACAGTATTCTGCAACTTTACCTATAGGTGGTGCAATTTCTTATCTTTCCTTTAATTTTGCAAGCTTAAAAACCATTTATGTAGAGACAGACAGAGAGGATATATACTGCTTGTGAAATCAGGCACCCAGCTTTGGTATTTTCATCTCAAGATGACATTACTATATTAAAAAAAAATACAAGAGCAAAGAGGGTTCTGCTAGGTTTGCTCACATGCAAATTAATTTCTTTCACAAAGAAGAATATGCTTCTAGAACAGGTAAATGTGGTTAGAAAGGTCCTGAAAACAGATGCTGGACAAAATAAAGCTGCATTGTTTTATCATGCAAGCATAAATGAAGTTGTCAACTGTTTTAAATATTCCTGAAATGAGTATTGACTTGACACACTGAAAAGGCATTCAAGACTTTAAATACGCATCTGCTATTGAGGAATCTTGTGCTCCATGTAACATGCATATTTATCCCCCCCAGTACCTGATAGGTTGTACAGTGCTCTTAACTACAGTGGGACTAGGTACTCTTGTCACTACTGTGTGGGTATTCACAGAACGTGAAGCAGGGGTAGATTCACTTTAAAGAATTGCCAAGGAGGGAAAATTCACAGGGAGAGAGAAGAAAAAAGCATTAAGAAAAGCAATACATTAAGTGTTAACTACAGAAAAGACCAAAACCAAACCAAAACAAAACAGAAAAAAAAACCAGCAATGATTTTTAATTAACTGAGTTATCTGCTGTGACCTTTTCAAAATAATTTCAAATACTTTGAAAGAACTAAAAACCTAGAGGAGCAAACAGGTTGTCTCTTGAAGTTACTCATTACCCAGAACATAAGCTATCTTTCAGTAGATATTAGGTGAATGTCCATTCACCTTTGTTTAATCTTTGCCCTAAATGACTCTTTTTTCAGGAAAAGTTGATGATGTATGACCAGAGTGCAAGAAATGTATTTCCAAAAAGTACATTTGATATTTCAGAGTGTAAAAGGTTTTTCCCAATACAAACATATTCCATAAGAAATTGTGCAGATTTCCCTCAGCTCAAAGTATCTTTTTCATTTAGATTACAAATCAATGCTATGATTAATCCCATTTATCTAATCTACAGGTTCATTTCTGACAAATCACAGCTCATACAAGTTATGCATTATTAGTCCCTCTACTTTTAAAAAGGAAATTCAGTAGTTTCCCCTGTGGTTCTCAAGGAAACTAACCCATAACAATAAATGTTTTCCTTGCTACAAAGTTGTAAATACCACATATATGGAACTTATTCCCAGATTTAAAAGCAGGAACCAAATTAAAGCCAACATATGTACAAGACTTACGTAGCTGCAATGACCACTTCCTCACTGGTAATTGGTTGTGTGTGTGATCTGTCCTGCAAACGCCGCAGTCTTCTCTCTACTGCTGAACTTCTTGTAGGTGGCTTAGGAATATTTTTCATTTCAAATGATTTTTCCATTTCCTAAGTGGACATATGTCATAATTAAAACCATGGAAGAAAAGCTCTAAAACAGTACTTTCTTTTTAGCTTTCTTGCATTCAATGTAGTAAGTTTCCCAAATGACCATCTCTGAATTAGAAGCAGGATGTAATTGCATAGTAACCATCATGGAGTTAAAACTAACTACATGTCTCTCTAAATGATGTTCTTAAAGAAGGCTTTAGAGCAACAGGTCTACTGTGTAGGTAGGTGAGGTGAAGTAAAAAAAGTTATGTAGCTTGGAATTGGTTAACCGCCTTACACTTCATTCTAATGCACTTCAGGTTCTTCAGCATCTTGTATATGAAATGTTTAACTCAGCCTTCTATACTTACTCTAAAAAGAAGCCTCTTTGCAGCTACACTTAGTTTGGCTCGGTCATCCAGTTTTTCTTCATCTACACAAAGGACAAAAAATTGACGAGGGTGAATGTAATGAGTCAAACTCATATTAAGTGAAAGGGGTTTTTTGGCTAAATTATCTCTGAATTCCTCAAGAATTATGTTTTACTAAGACAAGAAGCACCACCAGCAAATAAATCGGCTGTTACTCCCTTTCAACAAAAGACTCATCATGAACCAAATTGTGTAAACTTTACTTGTATTTATATGTATTGCACCAGAAGAAAATTCTTAACAGGATTTGAGAACAAAAGATGTGTCCTCAGTCAGTTCATGTGCTATCACATTATCACGTAACCATTTATGAATATTCCAACTTAATATATTAGCCTATGATACCACATGGACTAAGAAAATAATTACACTAAAAGACTGTCTTATTCGTCGTGATGTATAAAACATCCAGTTTCTATCAGCTGACCATCCAAGATGGTCTTTCCTGGAAGCTGGTCATTTTAATTACCACCTTGTGTCCCCATTTTCAGAGGCTCAACTGGTGTCCTTAGAAGCTGAAATCAGCATCATCCAGATCCCAGAGCCAGCATCTCAAAGCTGCAGAGAATATCAGCTTTCAAATAGCATAAGGCATTAGATCTAAATTTAGCTACTCATGAGATTACCTACTTAATTTGTGTCAGACTTGCCGAGAGTGACAAGAGGGAAACAGAAGCAAGATGGCCTACTGAATAGAACTTAATAACCATGTTCTTGCAACTTCCTTAGCTAGAAAACACATTACCAATATCAGTTTTACACTACAGTAAAGGCTTTTTTAGTCCTACACCACTGACTCAAACGTGCATTTCTTTCCACTAACTAGCTTTTTTGTTATCTAAATCAAAAAAAACACCCTATCTTGAAAAGCATCATGCCACTCCCCACCTTGCCTCCCATGCTAAGTTTGATATCCATAGACAGACTTTTGCACTTAAATGAATCTGAAATCAAAACTGTAGTAGACATAACCAAAGTACTTCAAATATATATTATATGTAGTTGTAGTTATTTTCAGGTGGACTTTGTTTGCACTCTTCAGTTAAAACACGTTCACTCCCATTTCTTCCTTTGAAAATAGTACAGTAACGTACCTTCAGCAGTTGGTATTTCTGCACTCAAAACTGACCTAGTGAAAAATTATCAAACAGAAATAAGTTAGTTGGAAATGAGACATTAAAAATTAAATTCAAACTTCATCTGAAGTAGCACGACCTCAAAAGTCTTAAGAGTGGGAAAACTTTATCTAATTTTCAAGTTTCAACAGTTTCCACTTTGACATCCTTTAATAAAGCAGAAAGGCAAGCAATTGCAGCCAAACTTAAATACAGTAAAGGAAAATGGTTTCCAGTTCATCTTGCAGAAGATAAAGTTCTAAGATCTGCTGCCAGCTCTTTTAACATAAAATACATAGCTTTGGTTGTTTACAAAAAAAGTAAATGATAAAGCAGTGTAGATGGAAAGGAAACTATATAAAACCAAAAGCGTTTATCAATAGACAGAACAGGTATACAGACAGCTATAATACTTTACGGTGATTCACTGTTCACCATTTTACATCGGGGGGGATTTGTAATGAATTGGTTTTGTCAGCAGTGCTTTGATTTTTATTTTATAATAAGCTATAGGAAACATTTGTTTTTAAAGAGAAACAATAACCTTGCAAAATGTTTATTTACTAAACGAACAAAGTCTCTTCACAAGCTTGTTCGTGTCTACCTGCACCAGAATGCTACACAGAGCTACGTACGTGCCTACCTATCTGTCTCCTTTCGTTCTGCTGATGTTATAGGTTGTGTTTTAAATCTCTCAGAAGTCTTTCTATTTTCACCAGGAGTAAAATAGCGCCTCGGCCTTCGTGGCCCTCTTTCACGGTCACCACTGGCAGACAAAGTGCTACCTGCCGTTGACATCTCAAACCGAGATTCACTTTTAAACCACACGACAGAAAGCGCATAGAAAAGAAAATAGAAAAAGAAGTAAAGCATAGATATAAGCATCTCAACAATTCACTAGAGATCACTCTGCATGCTCCTCTGGTAACATGCGGACGTACACATTCCAGCTACCCCACATCACAACTTGCACTAGCAAGCAGAAGCACAAAAGCAGGATTCAAACCATCTCAGCCTCCAGTACACACTGGTGAGAGCTAAGCTGTGTGCTTTAAGTGCCGAACACAACCGCTGTTGAGTGTGTGTAATTTTTGCCAAGGACGTGCAAGTTTCACACGAAAATACGTCTGAAATGTCACCTACAGTTCCGTTTTCTTGTTGGCATTAGCAGACTCCAGAAAGACATTACGGAGCTGGGCAACAGAGACTTTTGTGTCAACCATGCCAATCTCACCATTTGGTGCATTTGCTTCCGTGCTCTCCTTACTTTTAAAAGCTTCTAGCTTAGGAGCCACAGTATAGTCTGACATTGAGCGAGTCAGGACTTTATGCTTTGCTGTCGACACTTTCCAAACAGGAGCTTTTGCCTTGGCAGGCTGCAATACAGACCCACTCTGTATGTACATAACAGCTTCACTCCTTTCTATGTTCTCAGGGGTCTTAAATTGCTGCTCTGGAGCCTGCTTCTTATTGCACTCCAGCTCTCTCTGAACTTCCGAGTTAACTTTCAGCTTGCTTGTGAAAAAGGAACTCCCCACAGGGCTATCCAATTCTCCTCCTCCAAAGAGGCCTTCATGGTTCTTCCCTTGCTTGCGAATCTCAGATGGCAGAATTGGTCTTCGGCCTTCAGAAGCCTGCTCGCCCTTCAAAGAATCTTCTTCATCAGGCTTTGCTCCATGACCAAGTGCCTCTTTCTTTTCACCCTCTGATGCACTGGCTGCTGGTGATTTTGTTAAGAGGCTAACATTGTCTGGCAGGAGGCGGCTGCCAACAGAGATGTTTTCTGGTTCTTCTGTTGCCATCAGCTGAGCTGTGTGAGCTATGCCAGCAGGCTGAATATAGCCATGTATTGGTTGGCGGACTGAACTGACAGGCTCATTTATAACCCTATCAAAGGCAGGCGTTTCTGTCTGAAGAGGCGTGTAGTGGGCTGGCACTGGATGGGATTTTCTCTGAGATACTGTGTCTGTGACAAGTTCAGGGCTTCCACGAGCACTTTCCTCTTTCACCAGTTTCTCTCTAACTTTTACTCTTTAAGAAAAAAAAAGGATTAAAGCTGTGAACAGCAATACCCAGTCTGTGAAGGAACAGAGACACCTACTGTAGGTATAGACAGCGACATTGGATTAAAATAAAAGGCAACCAATACATAAAAGACAGCAATCTTATGATGCAACACCTTCCTCTCCCCCTGAATCTTAGCAACAACATTGCTCAAAACCATTCAAGTGATACACAGGGCCTTGAACATGCATGACTCCTGAGAAGGTAACTGGGCAAGCTCTGAAAATGTACAGCCTGTTCCCAGAAGGTCACAACTGCTTTTGTCAAACAGCACATAACCATAGTCTCAAACAAACAAGATGATCAAAAGTGCTTTTTGTATTATTAAAGTGTTGGGTTCAGCCTGAAATTGCAAATTTCATTGGCAATCATGTATGTAGACAGATCTGGAACATGTCTAAACACTGGGCAGCTTATGACATATCAAGATGCTGTTGCGTTAGGAAAAGGGATGAAAAAAGCCACATTATCTCCACCTAGCTCTTCAGATGTTTTCCCAGAGACTTTTTTAGTCGTGCTTTTGTGTATCATATAAGACATCCCAAACGTTACACATAGTGTAACCTGTTTCAGTAAGTGACAAAAAAAATGTTGAAAGTGCAAGCCTTAAGGCCCGAAGTGAAACTATGGCATGGCTGTTGCTCTTCAGAGGGCTTGCAGGGGAGGAAAACATAAAAAAACCCACCCCAAAACTCAAACCAGACATTTGATTTTAAACATTTTGTTGCCTTCTAACATGCAAAACTTACAGGAACATTCCCAAAAGTTACCTTACTTCAGTGTATTTTCTGGGAACACCTCTAGACTTGTGTAACATCCATGCAAAACAAGAGTCATATTCTACCTTTAGACACTTAATGCAACTGCATTAATGGAAGGCAAGCATGTGCAGCTGGAGGCAGCCTTTGCTCTATGACTACAACTGCAGGTAAGCTCTCCAGCAGTTTTACAGCCACGCCATGTGTTCAGACAGCTTACAAGTTGAGTGTTTGTAAATATCACACAGAGAGTATTAAAAATGAAAGCCCTCTATTTCCTCCCCACACAAATGGATATAAAAAAAATTATCTTAATCCTGAGGAAGGAGAGAAACTCAAGTACAACTGAAGACTAGCACTTTATTTGAAAGTAAATAATTTAGCTCAAAGTATGTACAATTCCAGGCTTGCTACCAACAGACTTTTTGGAGCTTACATTATTAAAAACAACAAGCAAAATTTAGAAAAAAAGAGCAAATGAATGCCTGAGATAATAATTTGGGTATCCAAAGTTATCTGAAACACCAACCTTTCTAATATTTTGGTGTTTCTTATCCCTGAGAATTGGTGCCTTTATCAGGGAAACTTCTCAAAGTTACTTAAGCACAGAAAGTCTGTTCAGTCTGAAAAAGTGATTCTTTAAACTAAATGTAACAAGCATTCTTCAGAACATCCACAGTGATGTTAGTACTGGGTTATAAGAATTACTTTTATCAGTAACGTGAGTCTTCCTGCAACCCTTCTCATGGTGAGCTAACTGCATGTGTTACCAAACTGAGAGAAAGCAGCTGCTTGTAGCTCTGATCAAGGTCTTGCTTTAATTTTCAGTATAATTTTTTACTTCTTTTGTACCATTCTCCTTTGAAATCCAAAGAATTAATTGTAGGGTATGCCAAAGCGTGTGGTATAAAAATCTGCTGGTTTGCAGAGTACAAAGTAGGATAAAATATGAAGTTATAAAAAATAGTGGAAGGCAGAGTGATAGTAGCTATAGAAGAAGCTAGGGGCATTTGTAGTACTTCATCAAAATACCAATTGGTTGTAAAATACAATTAAAGCAGATGCTTCAGAAAAGTTTCAACAGCTGTTTACCCACAAGAAACAACACTTTCTAACTTGATGCTGCTGCTAAAGGAAAATTAAAGGCAAGTGTTAAGTGAAGACAGAGTAAAGAGAAAGAAAGGGGAGGTTTGTAATCTGGTTGTTAGCCACACAGCTACATTTTGATACCTGGAGGGCCAGCTGATAAGTGAAGGTGTGTCCCCTTCCGAATCTTTCTGAAGAAACCATTCAGGTTTTGCTTTCCCTGCACTACTACAGAAAACAGAACTTCAGGTAATTTTTGAGATCTCTACACATGCTCTCATTGTTTCTCCCAAACGTCCCTCCCCACCACTCCTTTTTGTTTTTTAATTACAAAGGACTGTTGATGAAAATAAAGACACATCACATTAGTCAAATTGAAAGGTGATAAACTGTGAAACAAACTATCATATTCATTCCATAAACATCTGAAAAGTGTTCTGAATGTTAAATATTCTGCAAAAGTAACTTTACTAATATACATCGTCCAGGATTTGAGAAGTGAAAGCAACTACACAATCTTGGTTTTGTCATTTGCTATTGCAGGTCAGGTTGAAGGGTTTACGTAAGGACACCTGGAAAAGTTGCTAAAACTATTTACTTTGTGGTTTAAAGTGGTAAAGACTTCTGGATCCAAAACCAAAGTTAGATGTTCAATTTAATTAAGTTAGAAATTCAGATGGCTATATCATACTTCCTAAGAAATTCTCAGAAGTGTCTGGAACCCCTCTCTCCTCTTGCATTCCTGTATCACTAAAGCTTCCAAAATGCAAACCCAGTGAGCTGAAGAAAAACATGCTGGGTGACAGGGGAAAGAAAAAGTTTAAAAACCAAAGTAACTCCTAATTTGATCGTGTCTTGACAAAGTAACCCCCAATTTGATCGTGTCATTCTGTTTCCATTTTGGACTTGAAAGCATAGAAAGAAAAAAAAGCACTGAAAACTTTTCAAAGCCCTGCAGGAAAGGGTGTTTGTATACTACCTACACACAGTTTCTCAAACACCTTCCTAACACCCACCTCCATCTACAGTCCCTCAGCAACAGTATATCACATCAAATACTTTTAATCTTGCAAGCACAGACCGTCCAGCCACACCAGTGTTTACAAGCTCCCTGGAGGTGACAAGCATCCAGGCAACTTTTCATTACCTACAGCTACATCTGGAAGAACTCCTCACATTGCAGTAGAGCCATTTAAGATGAAAATCCCAAATTAAGCTTCAGGTCATCTACTTCAATTTTTCTTAGCTGATCTTTCAATAAAAATATTTGGAAAAGGTCAAATCAACAACTGTTCTTAAGATAACACTGCATTTATGGCAAATAAGTTTAAAGTTGAGAACTCACCTACAGTTGTTACCTTATCCAAATCAAGCTTAGGACAAAGTCAAACACCAACTGTGAAAACACTTTTTGTTTTTCTAAATGTTTTTGAATTCCTAAAGGAACTGACCAAATAGGAGGTAAAAACCTGTCACAGGAGCTGACCCGGTAGCTGGAACTGCTTTGAAGGAAGCAAACATCCTTCTATCTCTTAATGTGTACTTTGGCACATTTTTATAGTGGGCATGGCCCAAGCAGCAATTATTTGTACTTGATCATTCATCCTTTGAAGAGAGCAGTCAGAAGAACACAAGCCACGTTTTGAATTTAGAGTTAATTAGTCACTTCAGCAGCCAAATGCAGACAATGTCAAATGATACCTTCTCAGCACTTTGTTGCCTTCTCAGTGATGGACAATAGGATTAATTATTAAATCTTCTTAGGACCAAAGGCACAAAGCTTTTATATGTACTCCAAAGCAAGCTGCATTTATTTTCCAATTTGAGCACAGCAATTTTAAATTTAACAAAAATAATTTTGCCACCTATATAATGTAGAACTGACTTCAAAACTGCAGACACCTGGAAATCTGGCATTAGCCCTTATTATGCTTATGAAAACGGCCTCATAGGAGACTGCCACACAGCAATTTTAAACTGACTGCATGGAAATAGGCAATGACTTCTTTACCACTCAGAAACAGGGACAAGAGTTTCTGAGAGGTTACTCTTAAATCTCTGAATAACACACCAGTGAGTATGAACTGTAAGCTGTCAGGGGTACTAAAACAAAGAATGGGTTCTTGGCAACTTGGCCTTTAAAATACTACCTACTGCCTACACACGTAAACAAAAAAGAGACCAAACCCTAAATTTAAACTCAGCTGCTCTAAGAGCTACACCACATCTTGGTGGATGAAGATTTCCTTCAAAACATAATACAGAAAGGAACTGTGGAAAACCTGTTTTACACAAATGCTGACCCAAGACTCATCCAGAAAGAATCTGAAATTAGTGATAATGCGGTCAGCATTTTGTATTAAGTTATGACTTATTCTTGCTGCTATTGCCCCAGTCTCTCATTTGTTAGTATGGCACTACTGCAGAGCAGAGAAGTAAAAACGTTTGGAACTGTCCTAACATCAGAACCCACCTGGAAATGGATCTTACCATTTCATTATCTGAAAATTGAGAAAAACTAAGTCTTAACTAAAAGAAGACCTTGCAGAAGGGGCCTGTCTCCAGTGCTTGCCAAACACAACTGATCCCTTAAGGCTTCACACAGCATTAGATCTCGTAGGGACATATAAATTAACAAATGAAAAAGTATGCCTCCATTAAAAACACTGTACCTTAATCATTTATCTTCTTCCCAAATTTGTATCATCTTTTATTATTAAAAAAGTAGGTAATGTCAGAAGTCACAGCTTTAAAAAGAAACAGATGGAATTTGTGAATGGCTTGACAATGTGTTCAGCCTGCTCAGTCTGAACTTGTAACTGGTTTATAGAGCTGCATTAGAAACACCATACTTGTTAGCTAAAGATGAAAGAGCTTTGTAAGGAGACAGTACAGGCTAATCTGTGAACAAGCAGATTCATGTGTCTCTCTATAGCCTGCATGCTACTTCACCAGGGCAACTGCCATCCCACCAATGCTGCATGAAGCATAGCTCCTTCCGAGCTGGAAGAAATAATCACCTAGAAGGTATTTCATTGTTCAGTGGTTCATTGGTTTCCCCTCACAGAAACAGGGACCAGGATTGCTTTATAAAAGTAGAGAAAGTAAAACCCCTTTTTACACTACAGCAGACACTTTTGGCTATGAAGTTTGATGGGCTATTTTCTTTGTTTTCTTAAGGGTGAAAACTTTGTCCCCTCTTTCACGTTATAAAATAAAGCAAATAAGCTGCCAATGGTCCACTGCTCCAAATATCCCTTCTGATCAGTAATTGGATTAGTCAAGGGATTTATCTCCAATTGATCATTTCAAGATAAAGGATAATATTTTGTAGTATTTGTGTTGAGACTGCTTCAGAGGCAAGTTTTTTGGAGCCTGGAATAACCTAGTCAGCTCAGGGAGTTTCAGTACAGCTCTGGTCTCAGTTGTATGGATGGCCCTGTGATGACTATTTTCCTTAGCATAGTAGCAGAACTGTAAGCTTAAAACATAAACTAAATAGAAGATGGTACTTCCTAAGTATGTTGGATTATTTTCCCTCTGATGGCTTTTTTGAAATTACAGTATACCTTTAAAATTTTGGCTTAATTGGAAGAGCCCAATGACAGCTCATACAGCCATATATCCATGCAAAAGAAGGTGAGCAGATATAGAATTTACCTGAATAAGAAAAGCTATGAAAAAAATAATGAGACTACTACTTGTGTGTCCTATGCAATAAAGTGAAACAAACAAGAAGACTAAGTACATTTGAACAGTTTACAGGCACTAGAAAATAGATAGCTTAATCAATCCACCCGGTGGTTAACAGTTGACATTGGAAGATTGTTCTTTATTCAAACTTTAAAGTATGTTTATGAGAGTTAATAAAAAGGCTACAACAAATAGGAATCAAGTTCTGTGACTTTGATGGGAAGGATAACGAAGTCCAGCCAACATAGCTTGTGTCTAAACCTACTGCAAAAATGCCAAAGAGTGTAAACAGTTCTGTTTATGTCAGTTCATTTCAGTTTTCTTAGAAATGGTCAGCACAGCTCAGCATGATGCAGATGTGTTTACAGTTAAATTCTCATTACATAATTTTTTGCTGCAACATTTTAACTTATCTTTTTACAGTTGTTATTTTCCATTTATCCTTTTACCTAGAAATTAAAGAATCACACTTATGAGAAAATCATACTTCTAAAAAATTCTTAATCACATGTTGTTTTCAGTCACCATAACACTTTGACAGTCTGGTTTTGCACTACAGTGTGAAATTACAATGTGAAATTAGTGAAAACTTCTTTTTTGTCCCTTCTGGAAGAATCTGGTTACCTTATTATTGGAGTAAATTTGCAAATCTGAACTAATTCAGCATACCATGAGGGAGGCTACGTTTTCCAAACTCAGGATGGAATTTTAACTCTTCCCTCCTTCCCTTCACACATATATCCTGATATTATCTGAAATATTAATTCTCACAGTTCAAAAGGGTTTTTACACTTTCACAGCAGGAAAACAAATCAACTATTATATTTCAACTGAACCAAGACACTTTTCAGCTTTTAACTGAGACCTGGTTTATTTTGGTGGAAGCCAGCATAAAACTATTCAAATCCTCACCGAGAAACAGCTTGCCTTTACTTGGAAACCCACACCCAAACAATTACAGGATACAGAGGAAGAAAGTTAAAGGCTTGATCTAACAGGTTATGAAAAAATAAAGAGAGTAGACTTAGGATCATAACTCCTTCAATTTCTAGTTTGTGTAAATATCTTAAACATCAGTTATTCCATATCCTGGCCCCCATCCCCAGCCTAATTTTAGCATAAATTCTAGAAATATAAAGTGCAACCAAGGACATACCTAATCCTAGAAATCGATACCCACTTCCTTGTATTAGAAACACACTGTGATTCAAAAAGCCCAACCAATCCAACCTGAGATATCCAAAGCCACTAAATACACTCTTCAAGGTTAATAAATACATTCTCATAAGTACTGTAGACATTGCTGCAGAAGGTGATTAAGATAAAGGAATCTACTGTATAAAAACAACCCAGTTAAAAATAATGCTTACCTTTGTCTGATGTTGCTGTGCAAGGGCTGGTCATTCTGCAAATGGATTGGTGAGGCTGCCCGCTTTGGTGAAGAAAGGGACTCTCTGGAGGTTTGCTTTGGTGATATTGGCACTTCATTATAGGAGGAAGATTCTTGTCCAGAAAGTGAAAGGGTGACAGAGTTATCCAAGGTTGCTGAAGGGTCAGAAGCCTGTCTAATGGCACTGTCATCATCTACTTTTCTATTACTCCTCTCGTTTGAAAGGTCTTCTTTATCTGGAACACCATCTTTTTCGTGGCTGGAGTACTCTTTGGATTCAGAAATCACACTCTTTGATTCTTTTGTTTCAGTCCTGGACAAATACAGGGAGCCACAGTCCTTGTTTTCCTCATTTTGCCTTTCACTTTTCACTCCCTTTCTTTCCACACTGTCAGGATCTTTCCTTGCCCGTGTATATCTGGATGAGTAGTCAGAATCCAAATCAGAATCAAGAGATAATCCATATTTTTCTGCCAGCTGGCGCCTCCTCTCTGCCTTGTACCTAGCTATTCTTTCTGCTTTTGACTCTAGTTCCTGGACATCCATGTTTCCTGTACTATACAAGGGCTCTGTATTACCTCCTGTGATTTCTGCTCGGTACCTGGATGATCTGGGTTGTTTTTCTATGGAAGAATCTGAAGTTTCCTCCTCTTCATTTGACCTTCCTGTCAAAAGTACAATGTATATGAACAAGTCTACCCAAAACTCTTGAGTACTCTATCCACCATTCACATCAAGTGAACTAAAAGCTTCCCATTTTTTTTCAATTTGAAGTGTACTAGTGACTGCACAGACACATTACATTTTTGCACTTACCTCTCCAAAAGTACATACAATAGATTAAGTAGTATGTATTAGTTATAATTCCTTAAGTGTCTTATATCAAATTGTTGTCTTTTTAAAACAATATGGATAATCAACCTTTTTCAACTGGAGAATTAAAAGGCAAGTTAAATAAAAACCTGACCACAGCTCTTCTATAAAACTCCTCTCCATGTATTGCACAAATGATAGGTTAGAAAACATGAAGTAATTCAGCAGTGCAAGACTGATTGATATATACTACTTACCTAAGTGGGGACTGTATGGATCAGTTGCACGCATATATCTTGGTGTATCTTCCTCTAGTAAGCGGTGTGTGACTGATCCTGGACAGTTTTGTAGAAGCATAGGTTGTGTATCATTTTCAATTCCCTCTAAGCGTCTAGCTATTCTCTCTTTTCTGAAAAATATGTGAGAAATGTGAAATCAGGCATCTTTGAAGATTTGAGGGGAGAGTTTCTAAGAGGAGATAACAAAACAAGCTGTGTGTTTTGTTTTACAGACCAAAGACTTTTTTTTTTGTTACCTTTTCATTTCCAAAAAATCTTGGTTGTTTGGTTCAAACAGTTTTCTTAATTCTGAAACTGAGACAACAAAAGATTATACAGTTTATAAGCTACTAAGTTTCAGAAACTCACAGAAACTTGCTAAAATGCTTTAGAATAAGAAGGAACAGTCAAAGTTAAGAGGTTTGAAATAGTTTTTGTCAGGGAACAAGCATTTTGCTCTTATTTTCCTAGTTTATTAAGCTTGTGCTGTCAGAAGTGCCTCAGGCACACAGGTGCAAACACCAAGGAGTCCTCCCCTCCAGGTACTTCCAGGCTAAGCTAGAATCTGCTATGCCATCCTAGCAGTTTTCAAGATCTTGTATAAACTGGGAATATTGTATTTTGATTAGCTGAGATGAAGTTTAGGTGCTATAGTAACCTGTTGCAAAACCAGGTAGCATGGAATTCCTGTTTACTCCATCTACACAAAGGTTGGGGACTATGCTGAAAAAGAAACAGTGTCCCCTATTCCTTACTTTCCTCCACTCCCTTATACTGAGCATATCCCAAGAATCCCGGTGATTCACAGTTGGAGTGAAAATTACTGTGTTCCCTCATGATATTCCTGCATGGTTAATCCCTGTCTACTTTGCTAATTTTTCCTTGTAGTTTTAATCAGACATACTTTCCTTCTTTCACCCTAAACTGTTTGGTGGTGCTATATGCTAGTAGACAGCTGTCACAGTTCACAAAATAGTAGCAAACCAACAGGAGGCCCGATAGATGAAGTAATCCCTATATATATAAAAACACATATGCGCACAGTTATCAGTGATGTTTGCAAACCACATTGGAGCAGCGAGTGCTGCATAAACAAGGGTAGTGCGACTTCTTACCACCAGGAAGAGAAACCATCCAGGCTGTCAAAGGACACAGTGAACTAGAGGGTGTGGGGGTGTGTGTGGTGTGGTGCGCCTAACACCACCACCCCCTCACCCCACCCCCCCATATCATTGCCTTGGCAAAGACATGGTGCTAAAAGCTGCGTGCGCCTATTCTGATGAAACGTACCTCTGGAGTTCTGATCCTGTTGACCCAGGGATCAAAAGTTAAAGCAAGCTAAAGTCTACAGCCTGCTAAATCAGCCCTAGATTGCCATCAGAAATGCCTGATGAGTCAGGAGTGTCTAGTCGACACTGTTCCGCACCACTGCAGAAGTAAATCTATCAGCTTTTTCCCCTACCACTATCACTCTGGATACTTAGACGATAAACATTTTTGAAACACCACCCTTTTAAAGATCAAATGCAGCTTTTCTTCCTTTCCTCTACTGCAAGAGCTCACATGCGCAGCTAAGTCGGGGTTTTAGTTTAGCTGACACACATACAGGAAGTCTGCTGTAGTCAATACCAGTGCACACACCTCATAGATACAGATAGGTACTATTGGCTGTCATATCAACCTTACATGCTGAAAAGCCACTAGGACTCCTGGTGAAATGTCTTGGATCAGCAAGAATGAATGTATTCTGATCATGAGTGCTCAGAGAAGCAAATGAATGAGGTATGAATATAGTGTCTGAGGCTACAGATGAGTGCCTGCTGAGAATGTACAATTAACAGGGGAAAGAAATCAACTGGGTCACTTGCCAAAACAACTCCTTTAGTCTACATTTCTACAGAAGACAGACTCAAGCTATCTGCTTCAATTTCTCAAGACAGGTTAGCTCAGACTATGACCATGCTATTACAAAAATCTAATACATACATATTTGATGCAACTAGCAGTGCAGAGTAGCTAAGTATGAAGCTACCTAACAGTGCTAACCCAAGGGACACCTCTACTGTGCCTAGTTTCAGCATCTGCAGCAAACCAGATTGAAGTCTGTGATGTTGACAAGGTTAAACAGTGCAAGATAGCCACTGAAAGTCAGCAACCTCTAGGCACAGATCTCTGGAGATGAATGGGAACTGGACTTGGGCAATGCAAAATTTGCATCCTGAACTGACACCAAAGGAAAGATGAGCCCTTACACTGTGTTTTCATAGACTTCAGTCTCAATGCACAAGCAGTTCCCAGTGCTGCCCTACCTACTTAAGCTGTGCTAGCAGTGGAACTGTATTAAACACAGAACTTATCCATATGAAGCCAGCCTTCGTCTCACATTCACACCAAAGGAAATGATTTCTCATAAATACTTTGCTCTCACCTCTGCCAAATCTACTTCTGTTTAAGTGTGTTCCTCTGCCTATTAGAGTTCTTCTGTTCCATCTGTTGGCTATACATACATAAAACGGTCAAAACAAAACCTGTTATTGTTCTGCCACTTCAGACAGGTCAAAGGCCTCCACAGTTCACAGTTAATAAAACTACATTCCATTCAAATCCTGATCATTTTTCTTCCCTAGTCACCAATTTATACAGTCCTTAAAACGATCATCAGAGAACAGGTCTTTTACAGAGCTTTAGTAAAGTTCTAAAGCATAGCTTCATATACAGAAGTCTTCTCTTTTTTTTTTTTTTTTTTTTTTTTTTCCCCAAAAAGGGAAACTTGACTATAAGTTGTCCACATACAAGAAATGTGGAACATCTAAAGAACTCCTAGCAGCATTAGCTCAACACCCTCTTGCTACGTGTTAGCTGAAGTTCCAGAGATTCTACTACCGCTTTGCAGCCCTAAAAAGAGAGCTGGCCTCATGAAGAATCTCTCCAACACCTTCCCAAACAAGATGGGTCAAAAATAGCATGGGACTACTCTATGCTGCCTTACACTTTTTCCACACTTGAGATTCCAGACAGTAATTTCAGCTAGGTTGGCTAACATCTGCTGAGCTTTTTTATGAAAGCAGTTTCAGCAATATTCTTCTGGTAAAGTGGAGGAAAAAAGCATAAGAAAGACACAAAAAAAAAGATGATAAAATGCAATAAATCTTCTACTCTAGTGATTTCTTTTTGCTGAATAAAATATTTGACCTCAAAACATGAAAGCCAGTTGGAGAAATTTCACTGCCAAGGACACTGGTCGGTCCTTGCAAGCTTAGGTGATCTGGTTTCTTGGTTTTAGTTTGCAATTTGACTATGTTGGTGCCATTTTCACAATTTTTCAACATGACCACCAGAAACTCCACCATTTCAAAGACCCCCACCTTCCAAAAGTCCCTAGTAGTGAGTGAGCACACACATTTGTAAAGACTCAATAGATGTGGATCAAAAGTTTACCTGTCAGAGACTTAATTTCTCAGAGCTGGTAAATAACCATTGCAACACAGGTATATACTTTTTCATTTTGAGGAAAATTTAGCACAACAGTGAAGCTTACCAGTCTCATTCCTACCTCCTCCTCTCCTCACCTGGAAAGATGATGGTTTACAAACCAAGTTGGAGAAGCATTTATCTTATGTTTATGTTAGCAGGGGCGTACTAACATGTTCAATGCTTAACTGCAGGCAGCATTGTGTGAGACTTCAGCTAGACTCTTTGAACTGCAGTTAAGTTTGTATCAGTTGAAAATTAAATACATTCCTCTGATTTTCCAACATGTGCAAATCTGGATCAAAGTTAGGCCCTAGATGGGACAAATAACCTAGATTTTCAGAAGATGTTTGGCCTCAAGTAGTCCCCTCATAATAACACCATCAGTTCCCACTGTTTACTTCTTAAATCTGGTACATACCATATCTGATGCTTTTATTAGGAGAATAATTTCTTACGATATAGAGACATCTTGGAATATAAATTAGTTCACTGAGAAGCAATTTACAGAGAAGGTTTCTCAAGTGAAGGCTCTCACAATTACCTTGTTGGCCAGCGTGACTCTAAAGTTAAGTATATGGAATAATAAGGGACTATGTATTCTTACTGACTAGTGCCCTCAGGTAGTCTGTATTGTATTAATGCATACCACTCTATTCCATCACTGTCAATGAAATCTCGTTCTGAACATCTGTAATGATTATATTATAAAAGCAAGCACACCACTTAAGTATCACTTAAATGTTATGCTGCAAGGAGGACTCCTTTCTAAAGGAACTCTTCAAGAAATTACATTAAAAGAGCAAGCCATTTCCTTTACACTGGGATTAGTGCATCTAATCTTGCAGTTTGTCTGAAAAAGGTAAATACCATCAAGAACACACACGCAATTTTAACTGAAGTTCCGAGACTGACAACATCCCTGAGTGAAGGGATCATCTTTATGACAGTTCAACATAGTTCTTCAGTCAAATGTCACCCTTTACTGGTCAAGAACTATTTCCAAGCAGTTTGTGATTTCCTCCAAATAATTCAAGAGAATTCATTCTTGCCTCTACTCCAACTATGTCAAAAGATAAAGATAGAACTGCTGTTTTTTTCTTAAGTTATTCAGACTAAGACAGAAGTTTTAAAAGAAGAATAATCCTAAAAGCCATATGTAGTGCACGTCCTTTAGTGTGCAAGACTAAAATTCAGTATGTAGTCAGTTGGTCATGCAAGCACAGTGATTCTACCAACCACTGAATGGGACTGAAAAGAGTTATTACTACAAACCAAGTTAATACCTTTGGATTCAGGATTAATCTAACTGTACAAAGAAACCTCTCTGAGATTCCGAATTTCAACTACATAACCCATTGAAAGCTAGGTAAACAAACGTGAACTTTATGAAGCAGGCATGTAACAAGGCCTTGTAAAAGAGCATTATGGTTCATCCCCTATGCCTGCTTCACAGGTAAAAAAAACCCTCATATACAAAACACATGTGCTGAAGTGATTTTTAACTGTGCCTTGCGCTTGCACAGATTAAATGTCACATGCTGTTAAATTACCACGTGTTCATAATGTGTCTCCCTTACCTACCTTTTGGAAGTACTGCTAAGAGATTAGCATCAATATCCTTTGTGCTGTTTGCAAGTTCTTTATCTTCAGGTGAGAACTCCTTCTGAAAACTGAAAAAAACATCTGGTTTACAGAACTGTGAATGTTTCTGCTACAAATCAAATAAAGCCAAGATGTACCCAATTTACTGCAAGATAGTCTAACAGAGAAAGCAAACAAAATATTTTCCATAAGAGCAAAATAAGAAATAACCCCAAGAAATTCACAATGCCAAACCTAACATCATTTGAAACCTGTTTGGAACTGACTGGGACACATTTTGGCATTAAATTACTGACTGGAGACTGCCTCCAAAACATTCTACTAGCAATTACATTTGAAATAATCTGTAACAAATGATTCTCCACAAATATAAAAATGTATTTCATCAAACGCAGTACGGTATGTACACTTCACATAGAAGCCTTCTGCATGACTGCCATATTGTTATTGCACTGATCTCTGGATCTTATATGGCTTATAACACACTAAAATGAGCAGATCATTTAGTTTTATACCTTGTCTTTTCTGAATAGCAAAAATGCCCATTTAGATGAAACAGTATTTCTTTAAATGTTTTCATTAAATATACACATTTTAACTGTAAAGTGTAGGTGTCATAATGGTCTAAAGTAGGCAATGTCTTAAGTAGAGATTTTTTTGGAGGAAGTATTCCTCCTTGTGGGTAAACAAAATGGGATTTTTCTCTCCAGTTATTACAAATAGAGAGAGAACTGCTGCACTCTGCCATTGTGACTTCTAAATGATCCCAACCAGGCATAAGAATACTAAAGGTTTTAAAGACTTCAAGTTAACTGTGTAGAAAAGGTGTAACAGATACAAATCCCCACAGTGATCCCAGGCTCTTCATTTTGCCATGGTAGTGATGTGTTGTACTATTTACTGTCATTCTGATAAGACAAATTGCACAGCCTTACTGTTGGAAAAATCTATCCTTAGGACAGGTTTTCAATGGCTTTTTAACGAACTGAATAAGCTTTCATCAACGGTATTTGGTTAGAAAAGAAAAAATGGTTAAAAAAATTCAGTACTCACTATTCCAGAGCATTTCTATATATAAGGACTAATAACATTTTACATGAACTCCAAGAAGTATTTTCTTCTTTATCGTTTATAAATAATATTCTTTGTAAGACACCAAGAAGAGAATAAACCCCTTGAAACAACAATAAAGAAACTGGGCTGTGTCACATTCAGGCACCATGCCACCTGCTGCAAATTATCTCCAACAACTGCACTTACAGAAATTATTCCAGGGACTGCCAAGAAAAGCATTGTTAGCCACTACAGAGAATAGCAAATAGAAGATGAAGAGCTGCAATAAGCTGCCTGTTACAGAAAACTGAGTATCCTTACAGGGTGAAAACACTTTAATGGAACTAAACAAAAAACAAAATAAAATTAAAAAATAGCACACAGCAGCCACAAGCAAATGGGTGCGTGTGTCATCTGAGACTGGGCAGACACTCAGACAGTTAACCACATGTTTCTATATGCCTAACCCCACACGGCCAACACTCGTGATTCTTAATAGCCTCATATGTTATTTTCTTATTCACACAGCTTCTGGAGAACCCCTAGGTGGAGAGATTCCCAGTTTCCATTTGAAATAAGTTTCTACTCCTTTTGGCTGAGGATGAGTTTGAAAAATGCAGATAATATTGGCCTAAGGCTATAAATCAAACCCAAAATTTGTTTTTGTCAAATCGATTTGATTACTTAAGACTTGTCTAAAAAGTGCTGAGGGACCAAGCTCATGACTTCTGAATACCTGGGCTTTATTTAGTAGCATCTCCAATTGCTTTCATAATGCTTGTGACAGTGCAGCATCTTACTTTTCCATAAACATGGGACTCTGTACAGAACAGCATTCACTCATTCAGCAAAATCCTTATTTAAATTAACTGTTCACTAATATCCACAACCATACCTCAGTCCCACATGAATTTCCAAGGGTAAAATCATAAAGAATCAGGACAGGCATTAGTTTGCTGGTTGTAAAAAGAATTGTATTTGATTGACAATCCTCAACACACTTTTAAATACTGCAGACTAGTTAGGTTTACTCCTGCCCCTTCCTCCAAACGCCAGGGTGTTCCAGGGACTCTGAAGCCAGAGACCCTCTAAACCCAGTCTAAACGTCTTTCATTGGGTTTACATCCATTTGTTCTCATGCCAGTGTTGTTGGTTACCTCACTTATCTACCTTAACAGAAGTTTTCCACATCTATTCAGCTGTCTCAAGACAGGCCCTCAGTTTCATTGATTATCTGTAAAAATGTTCTCTACCTGTTCCAGTTTTAAGTCATCTTTTTAGTATGTGGTGACCAGAATTGAACAGTCCTGATTATAGACCTGGGTCTTAGCAGCGTCTTCTAAAACCAGAATGAATGCTGGGGTCTACAACACATTTGCCTTTTATATCCACACTACATTGGTTGCTCAATTCTGCACGAGAAACTAATATGCCAAGGCTTTACTTTCATCAGTTGCAACCGACAGAAAAATTTATCAGCCCCCAATGCACAACTGTGCACTTAGTATTATTACATTACATCCTTTTCTATTACTCCTCAAGGTCATCCAGTTCTTCCTGTATGTGAGCTCCCTCCCTCTTTGTACTGAAGGTGGCTCCCAACCTTTGCTCACTCGCAGATTTCATTAAAATTCTTTTAATAACCACAAACTTCTGAAGCTTAACCCTCACTGGGCGACACAGCATCATAGGTTATCTGCTTTGTGAAAGTTCCTTCACGGCTCCCCTTATGCTGTCATTTTCCATTTCCTTCTAGACAGACTGTCAACTTTTATTTAGTTGTTTATTTTTAAATGATTAACTATTTTCATACACTGACTATTTTGTCTGCAATGGCAGAGTTTTTCATCTTCAGAGGCATTTTTGCTGTCTCTTGCAAAGCTGCAGGTGGCATTGCTTGTTTTAAATATTTACACATTAGAAACACAAAATGCTTTAAACCGATGTATCAATTACATTGCTTTCACATGCACAGAGAATTCAGAGACAGAGCACTGCTCTGAAGATGATACAGTCAAGCCAAACAATTGGCTATTTATAGATACATATATAAAATGAGTTCTAAAAATGAAAGTAGGCATATTTAGGACATGTCAATGGTATTCAATAAGAACACTCATTATGAATCTAACTTGAGTCTGAATGATGTTAAAGCAATTTCAAACTGAAAAAAAAAAAATATATATATATATATTTATTTTTACAGGATACTACTCATAAGGGTTTTAAAAAATATGCTCATAAGTATTTCCTCACCAAGAGTTCTCTTTTTCCTCAAAGGAATGTCTCCCTTTTTTATTAGTTTCTCTGCTAAAGGAGCAGTTGCAGCATCAATTTAGTTGTTTAAGCAGAGTCACAGTCAGGTTTGGATTGCCAAGTATATTGCACCTTCAAACTCATCCACAACCCTGTTCTAGAAGTATCACGACTACATCTACTCATCTTTGCTTTTCTTAATTTCTCAAGTCATGCTACAAATTTAAGTGCAGATTCCAAGCAGCAGAACCAGGAGTTTCTGCACTTAACAGCTAGGCTATGCATATTCCTTATTAAAATTTAAGGCATATGTGGGTTTCTCTAAATGAAAAACAAAAATAATTTTGAATTTGCAAGAATTCTTTCTTCTTAAAGTCCCTGCTAAAACTGGATATTGAAAGAAGAACTTCTCCTTTGCATGAGATCATAGTTCATGAAATGCAGTCAACAACATGAGGTCCCACAAGTTCGTTTCACATAGAATTTGTGTGTGGTTTGGCCTCAGGTTCCCAACAAACTCATACTCTCCAATGTTCAGGATTTCATATGATTCCTATTAAAAAAAGAGGCAACAATATTTCACAATCTCAATAGTTTTTCTTTAAATCAATGTATAATATGGCATTAGTAGAGTATTTGATAGTCTCAGTAGTTATACTGTTCTTGCAACTTCCAAAGTGTGGGCTGCTTCTATACATCAGGGATTCCAGGCTGAAAACTTCATCAGCTGCTGCAGAAGCAGCACACAGTTTCTAAATAGCTGTCCCACTAACCTAGTTACATTCAAGCAGAATTTTGATCCAAATGCTACTGGTAACACTGCCCCGTCTTCTGGATTAAAGCTATGGGATATACTTAGATTTCGTGATTGAAACACCTGCATGAAAATCCACTTGTATACCTGCCAGTCAGGTGCCTGGTGTTCTTTTTTCTTCTCTTTCTCTACCTCCAAGAGAATTTCCTTCCCTGGACTCTTACATAAAAGAATACAGTCAATCCTTCTCTACTACTCTAATTTCTACTTTCCCCTACCTGCCTTCCACAACACACATCTTGTACACCTATTGCTTCCATCTCTCTACAGTATCCAAGAAACACTATGGCAGGGAATCAGGTGTGCTCCAGAAGGTGTGCCTTGACTGAAAAGATGCTTGCAAACATGAGCCTGGGTGCCTAAGACTGGTGGATTACTGTGCAGCTAAGCCAACAAAACAGCTGGTTGCCGAGGCAAGAATCAGTTCCCAACTCCCTGACCTCCATTCTATGTTATTATGAATGAGTCCATCAGGCACAAAGGTGGACACCAAAAGCATGGTGATGAACATGACCTGCCACCTTACTTAACTGTGAACTGTATCCCCTTACTCAGCCTTGTGGAACCATGCCCTAAGACTGCAGGCATGAGGCAGGATGTCCCTGCAAGGAAGCAGCAACGTCACCTCTCCATTCATCTCTGTGGTGTCCCCCTCGTGTGCTGACAAAGCTCTCTGCACGGCTGTATAATTAATTCAGCCACTTCAGCCACCTCCTTTTTCAGACAGATCAGTTTTCCAAGCTGGTTCACTAAACGTCTGTACGATGTCCATGCCATGCAAGGAAAAATGTGCACCACAGTGCCAGGAGGCTCAGTGCTGAGTGGGACTTTTCCCTTTGCAAATCCATCTATACGTTTTCACATTACTTAGGAGGCAGTTGGCGTTTTCAATACTAGTTCAGAGCATCTGCTTTATGCCAAATCTTGGTCCTGCAAGAGTACCAATAATCATTTTCCCTGACAAAAGAATAAACATAGATTCAAGCAATGACTGCAAGTGACAGTTGTGCAACCAGACATCTTCATTGGGCAAGAAAAACTTGACCTTACCTTGACGCTCTCTTCCTTTGGAGCAATCGTGAAGGTTTAAATCTGACTGAGTTTTCTTTGTCAAAATCTGTGAAATGAAAAAAAAACCCACATTAATGAACAGGGAACTTTTACTCTCCAGTCATAGTCCTTTTCCACTGGAAAAGATAGTGCAAAGGCCTTCCCTCTAGTCAAAGGAGCATAATCTGGCATGTCCAAGATGGTGATAAACCAGAGCCTTTCAAAAATGAGTACAGGCAGTAAACGTGTCAAAAGCATCAACACTTTATGGAACTGCCATATTCTAATCCCAGTATTCATGGCATAGCACTGCAGCCTGAGGCTAATATTAAAACTTCTTGACTCAGTTTCCCAGCTTATAAAATGGGCAGCAGATGTATTTATGAAGCACTCTGCAAATGAGAAATGCTGCAAGCAGCAAAAGCCTTTTTGGCTGCAGCCTAGCAATACTATAAAAACTGCATATTCACTGCAGAAGTCAGAAATGCCCAGCTGAGGATCTGTTGCAACAACAGTATTACGCCATACATGACATAAATACTGTTTAGAAGCTCCCACTTTTTTTCTCAATAGCCTTAGAACATGCTTACTTTCAGGGGAGAGTACATGCTTACACTGAGAGCAAAACTGTGTCAGATGCAGCCTTATGTTCAAAAAGTATGTATTACAAAGCCACTAGGTTCCCAAACCTGTGTGAACCATAACAAGCAATGGACAATCTCCCCTCGCCCCCCAGATTTAACGTTTTCATTTCTGCAGTCAAGAGCATCATCATCATGTCTAAACGATGAACAGTGGCAAGGAGGACCGATGCTCCAAGTACCAGCTCCCTCCATTAAACAATGAGGACACCATTGAGAGACCTCAGAGAGCTACTAGTCAGGAAGCAGAGGAGCACCTGGCCTGTGACTGCTGTTGAAAAACACATGAAGCTACTATTAATGTAATTCCAATGGGAAAATTGCCTTCTGTCCCCATCCATATTAAGTCAACTACCCCAGGACTCTATTAAACAGTCACTGATGAAGTGTTCATTTTATTTTTCTAAGTCAGACCTGAATATTACACAATCTGGACTTTAGAACGATTCAAAAGCAGCAACATCCCTTCTACTCTACCCCAGAGCTGAGATTTAACTATTTCAAAGAAGAGTTAACTGGTAAAAAACCACTTTTTGCTTATATAAATTATGTTAAAATCTAGGTAGGATAAATCTAGGTAGGATACATCTTACTTTTGCAGAAAGGGTTTAATGAAACATTATAGCTGACAACATGGGTCTTAATTTAGAGAATGTATCTTTTGTGTGCCTCTCAAAACTTTTCACCTTCCTCTTCTCTGCTTTTTTCTGACACCTCTCCAGTTAAACATATTTAAAAAAAAAAAAAAAAAAAAAAAAAAAAAAAAAAAAAGAAAAAAGACCATTTTAACAGCTTGATAAAGAGGTTTAAAACATGAAAAAAGGCATTTTTTTAGGCATCTGCTACAAGTCACTGCAGATTTCAAGCAGCTTTGCTAATAGCATTCTTCATCTTTAATAGGCAACTTTTTCCTGTTTTTGTTAACATTCATTTTCTCTTTCCAAGTAAATGGAGAATAAAGCACGCAGATTACACAAAAACATCTTGTCAGACCAAACCAGAATATTATAAGAAAAAGCAGTATAGATGGTATATGAATCATTATATTTCACACAACAACATTAAAAAGAATACTCCATGACATAAGTATCCTCTAAAGAGGCCAGATTTACATTACTGAGAAGAGTAGGCAGTAACTTAAAAAGCCCAGCTCGGTATCAGCTTAGCTAATCAGAACCAGGCATGTCTTAAATTTATAGCCATTCTAACAGGATATAACCCATCCTATAGTTTTTGGCACTAAAACAGCTGTCCACCATGAAAACCACAAGTAGACCACAGAGAAATTCTCCCTACCCTTGCCAAAACTGGAGAGGGGATATGAGAAGGGAAGAAAGTAGCTTTCGTTGCTTTGCTGGGAGAAAGGAGGGAGAAAGGCTTCTAAGAGGGGGCACACAAGCCGGTCTGACTCCTGCTACCCTTTAAACACATTCAGTAACATTCATACATACCACATGTCTAATGACTCAAAAACATCTTAAAACTGCTGTATTTCATGGAGGCAAGTTCCTCTCTTGTGCCGCGCCCCCCCAACCCAACCAGACAATTATATTCTGTTACGCAGTTTTGATATTTTATGTATTTCCTCCTGTTCAAATTAAACCCCATGTGGGAGGATTAAAGTCCAATAAAACTTACTTACTACAATATGGAAGTCTTAAAATTAAACACAAACACAGGAGAAAAAGTAAAACAGCTCTGCTTAAAAAGAAAATAAATATGCCCACAAAAGAAATACCAGTTTAACACAGTCTTAATTCAATGGTTAAAGAAAAAAAACCCCACCCTCACAGTACCTGATATAGAGAAGGAAAATCTTTGCAACAGCATTTTGTTCCTTCTTTCACTGAAGAATTCTAAACATGCTCATAACCACATTAAAACAATTTTAAATATTTGCATTTAAAATTAAGAGTGTATTTACTGAAGTGTAAATCAAACTTGCTCACAACTTTAACCATTTGTTCAGCCTAGTCCCCCTCCCTCTTAAGGTACAAACTACCGGATAAAACCACTATACATAATTTAATACATAGGAAATTTAAAATGTTGAACTGAAGAAAAAAAAGCATTAGATACAACCTTCCAGTGTTACTTAGTATATTTAAAGGCCCTAAATCAGTTGCAAGCTAAGCTAATTAAAAGATCCATCTAATCGGATCTTTCAAAAGTGTCCTTTAGGAAATAATGAAATAGTCTAGGTGACTAGCTGCATACCGATTGCTAAAGTAGCTAATGTAGCTGCAGAAGATCCAGTCAAATAATACTTACACATGCACATACATACACACATATATATATATATGAGAGAGATTAAACATACACAAATGAACAGCGTTTTCTTCTATCTACCTGGAACTCTTACCTTGCTCCTCAGAGTATTTAACATTTCCCAAATAGCTGGAGATCCAAGGATTTCTGAACATGGTTGCACAAACAAAGGATTCGGCAAAGAGAAACTACAATAGCAGCTAATTCTCAACCAGCCACAGCCCTAGGCCTGTCTTAGCAATACTGTGTAGAGATTTTTCATAGCAGAGGACTGGAGCTGTCAGGCTATCGCGTCCCAGGGAGTACAGTAAATGCATAGCAATAGGCTGCAAGCTGGAGCAGCTCAAGCCAGTAATCAGATTACAAACAGAAATTAGGCACATGAATGCTAAAACAGATTGGGCAGTGGTGATTGGGAGATTTATAATATTACTACTTCAAAGATCCAGCCAAATCACACATTATATTCCTGCGAGATGAATGCAGAACCCCTAAATCCTCATATTAAAAAAATGAAAAAAGAAAAAACCCTCTGAAAAGAGGAATAATTTCTTCATATCTCTAATCAGGATAAACTTGCATTATTTGCTCAAGAAAAACAGCATCCAGGCTGCCAAAAAAATGGACTCTGTTAATCATATCATTATGCTAAACGTTTTGCCTAACTATTAGTTGGAACATTTAAAACAGACAAGATTTATGGATAACATATGAGAAAAATTACTGGTGGGGGTGGGGATTTAAGAACAGACACCACAGCTCCAAATATTTTAATCTGAGACAGAAGGTGTAAAATTGCACAAAAGCACTGTCTAGCTACCATTTTTTTTATTAAACAGATTTGATGGATTTTGGATTGAAGAGTCAGAACCCTTTATAGTTCATTTTGAAAGTCTGGAAGTATTTGTTAGAAATGCTGCAATAACCCTAGCTCAGTCTTCCATACTGAACTACCTGATCATATAACACACAGAGACATAAAGAAGCATTAAATAGGTGACCAAAACAGGTCCACGCACTTAACCCCATCCAACCAAAGGCAGTAATTGCCTACTAGCTTCCCTTCAACAGAATTCTTACCTTCAAAAAGATTTCAACTAGTATCAGCAGAAAACTCACCACAATGCTGAGGTTGTCAGGGCCATGAAAAGGTAGCCTAGAAGCACAAGACTGAGGTTCTTGACTTTTCTTACCTACTTTTATGATACCTGGTAGAATAGGATTCTCTATGGAATAGGATTCTCATAGGAACCTCTATGTACAGGCAAAATACAAGCAATGATGCTGTGAAAGAGACTTCTAAACCACAAGTGAAAAATATAACCTATCAAAAACCTATTAATTTCTCTTGACTCACCTTGAAGTTGTATTTAGTCTCTCTAGGTCATCAAAACACTGTTTTTCATGCTAACAAGTTCTTGCAATGGATAGAAGATTTTGTACTCCATCTTGTCTAATGCCCCTGCTATTTGTAGTCATTTATTTATTTTTAAACATGAATAATATTGGAATCACCTTAACCTAAGCACCTTTTATTAATTAGGTGATCTTTCAACAGTCCAGAGCAACCTGGAACAAGAGTCACCCAACACAATGAACATGGCATTGAAGACTCTGACTCACCAAGTAGCATCCTTTGTTCAGAAAGATTTGATGGTACGTACCACATTTTTTAATTTGCCCATAACCTTACTGGCTCGTGTTTAATTCTAACCACTTCACAGCACTACCAATAGAACACAAACTGATCACTGCTGTGCTCTCTTGACCAGCTGTGAAAACCTACATGCACTCAAGCCTGGTACATACAAAAGCAGTAACAAATAGTGTAATCTGTTAACACTGGTCCAACTTGCCATTAACCTGAAAATCCACTTTATGGCCTAGACGTAAGTGCAGGTGTGCTTGAAACACAAAAACAAGACAGTGCAGAAATAACAAAGAAGCTGGTAGAAATTGCTTACGGGGACATTCTAGATCAGTATCTGTTTCAATAAAAGAGAGGCCTAGTTCTGAAAAGGCCCCTTCTTTCCAAACCCTGCATGTGTGAAGACTGCTCACTTGGTTTTGTGAATAGAGGTACTATTACCTAGAGCATTTTTAAGCACCTTTAACTCATCTGGTACACAGTAAGAGAACTGTTTCTTATAAAATGCAGATAAATAACACTCATTTGATAAATCTTGGGGCTGCAAGGTTGAAGAAGTAGTGAGACTTGACAGCTGAGTTGATGCAATAGTTCATGGCTGCCAAGAAAGACAGTCCTACCCATTTCTCTCTGCAGGAGCTCTGCTACGTCCTGCTCTCCTAGTGACCTAGTCAGATGACTAAACTGGTAGTAAACATTCCCTTTTATTTTTGCTGGGTATGATTTTTAGAAGGTGCCAGAACAAAGAAAAAGGCACAGGATCTTATGATCAGGAAAGGGATCAACCCTTCTGGCTAAACAAGGAGGTGAGCTCAGCTCAGTTGTCAACCCTGTTTCTGGCAATGTCCCACATGACAGAGAGGAGGGGTGTATTTGTATTGTGGAGTGAGGGGTCAGGCTCCCACATTCCTCTGCTGTACATCTCCAGTATTTTGTCCTCAGCAGGCTCCTGGTGAAAGAGGTGCAGAAGGTAAAAGCACACTGCAGAAAGACAGAAAAGCTGCAGAAAGACAGAAAAAACTCTGTAGAGTGCCTTTCACAAATGTGTGTATTGTAAATGGGTTCTTCCTTCTGCTGATCAAATTCTACTTGCAGAGCACATTAAGAAGTCAGTTTCTCCAACAGCTCTGGCTACCACCTGGGAAGGAATACTTGTGATAGGCTTTAGTGCAAGTAGGACTTTCCTACTATTTACAGCTGGCAGGTCAAGAATACAGGGGCCATCTCATGGAATCAAAGAGAATTATTATAGAGGAAAGTAAAATATCCAATACAACAGCAACATCAAGGTTTTCACAAAACCCCTACCCAATACTCTACAGTTTGGCTTCAAAGCTTTCTTCATGTTAGGTTGAAAGCTGATCACCAGTCACTGCTCTTTGCATGGTATCTATGAATTCACATGAATGTCACTGCTGTTAATACTGAAACTGTGCTACTGTGCAGAATCTGTGTACCCAGAGTTTGTTCAGTGTCACTTCAAGACCAGAGGTATGTGCCAACACTGCTGCCAGCATTGAAACTCTTCAAGCCATGAGATGCTGGAGCCTAAGGATATTACATCAATGCTACACACTTCACACAGATCATTGCAGAGATACAACTGTAGGTAACTAACAACTTCTCTCCCTCCTTTCCATCGAAATGGGACCACCTACTGCAAGACGGGCCTCTGTGCTGTTGCTTAACCGGCTTCGGCAGTGGAGAAGACACCTTGGTAAAACAGTAAGTCAGTAGGGCCAAGCAATGATATAAAGAAATAAGCCTTAGATTCAGCTTTTTGATGCTTGTTTGGAAACAGCAGGTTTAAGAGCAAGTCTTTCCCAAAAGAAAATAAATCCATCTCCAAATAGTCGATGAGGTAAGGAAGAAGAGTATTTTGTCCTTCAAAAAGATCCAGTCTCCAGGACCTAGAAGTATGCTCAGCCATATGTTATCAAGGCTGTGTTACAAATCGGTAGTAATGTTCTTGTCCTCCTCTGCCATCATTAATTCTTGAGCATTAGCAGCCTCCAACATAAGCAAACAAAGAGAGAACAACAGTTCAGCCATTAGAAAGGGGGGCAGCCCAGCTGGAAGTTAAGTCTGCAGTATCTGGGCAAAGAGCTAGAGGTTAAGCATGCATACATTTCAAATCTGAGACTGCTTGTGAGAGACCAGCTGGCAGTTAAATGCTGTTCTGAAGCTTCCCACAGGAAGAGAAGGAAAATATCTTCCTTTTTTCTGGCAAAACTAATCACTGTAATCAAAGCTGGAGTTTAACCGGCTTGCAAAAACTGTCCCAACTTACAGGGCTGCCAACCCCAAAGCACTGAAGAGTTATGAATCAGGTCCCACCAAGATCAAGTCTTTTTCTTTCTGAATTTTGATCGCTTATGAATTTATATTTAGAAGTGTTCCTCTGTGATAAGGATAACTAGATACTTTGTTGTGACTTATGGTTATTATAAAAACAATCATCAAAGAAGGCCATGACAACTGTTTGAAGAAAGCCTAAAAATAAATAAAAACTATCAAGAATGCAGAAGAAAGAAAACCCACAGTGACTACAAAGAAACTTCTAACAAATATGCTAGTTAGGTAAACAGGAGTCTGAGTAGCACAGAAAACTAAGATGATCTGTATCAGTAAGATGATGAAATCATATTTTCATTCACAATTCATGGGTAGAGATCTAAGAGGAGCTCATAAATTTTATTTCACTGCTCTTCTTCTGGACAAGGATGGCACCCTTGGAACAGCAAGTCAAAGCAAGCTGTACCAAAACCTCAGATGCTGTGGATGATCAGAGGAATGAAGGTCAGAAGACAGGGCTAAACCAGACCACTCTCTTCCATCACTTCATCTGACCTGCCTTTCCAGGCTCCAGGCTACTCGCCCACCCCAAGCCACCCTGTCGGTTTTTGGCACATAAGCACATGTTTCCAAAGTTAAGTGGCAAGGCACTGGAAGAGCCTCCCTATTCTTATTTCCTCTTCCTCCCACACTCCATCAATTTCTGCCAAGGTGTTCAAGAAATAATTTAGCCCAAAGCTCAAGGACAGGTCAAAAGTCTAACAAATTACTTCAGCAGTATAACAACTTGACAGAAGTTACTGTCAAGTCATGTTCAAGCATCTTCGCTTGCAAACACAGTATGTATTCTGAGCTGGCAATGCCAGTCAGTTTTGTCTTCTCCATCCAAACCCCATGTACGTGGGCAAGTGATATTCTCATTTCCTAAACGGAGGTCATTTGTATGGACTTTTAAACTAGGATAAAGTTTCCTGACATGGTATCATCCCTCCAATGGAAAGCAAATGTAATCCTTTTCACTTTGCTTTCCCTCCCCAACCCCCCACCCCCTCCCACTATGCAACAGTTCTCAAATAATGATCCTGGCAAGAATATTTCTGTTTGGCTAGTGATTATGTTTTGGACAAATCTTCAGATAAGCTTCAGCACTGCATTACCCATGTGGTGTACTTTAAAACAGGTCATACAAAAAGACATCAAAAAAGCTGATTAGTAAGTGTTATAAAGGGAACTACTTTTTTAGTACAAGATGACAAATGTGTTAAAAGAATATATATGGTCTTTTCTACTGGCTATTTACTCATGTGCTCTGGGAAAAGGGAGAACAACAGGTATTTTTCCACACACACTAAAA